TCAATCTCGTGAAAACTCAGAGCTCATACCTCGAAATTTGAAGAATTTGGCTGGCGGTAGACATCATTCTGCAATTGTGCAAAGTACATCAATTGGAGCTGCGAAGAATAAAATCTGTGCTGGCTCAGAAGAAAAAGAGTAGGGAATGCCCATTCTGGTCCTGCCTTATATAAGCTAAAGGAGTTTACACGTTTCAAAAAAAAAAAAAAAAGCTAAAGGAGTTTACTTAAGGGGACAAGTAGGTGTGCGTTAGTTAAGCTAAATTTAGTGTGGAGCTGGTGTAAATGTATGCAAATCACTGGACATTGGGTACATTGATCACTTGGGTTGACACCAAGTGAGTGAATCAATGTAGTGATTTAGCATCGAATAATAAATTGGTGATCAATGTAGTGATTTGACATGAAGTCTTCATGTCAAATCACTACATTGATCACCAATTTATTATTTGGTGTTAACCGTCAAATCACTATATTGATCATTACATTTATCACTTGGTGTCAAATGTCAACCCAAGTGATCAATGTTCCCAACGTGCAGTGATTTGCCAAGATTAACCTTGTATGAAGATACATTTACAGCTGCACCGCCATACGTTAGGAAAAGATGTGGGACCTTATAGAAGGGAATGGGATTAGGCCTCAAGAATTCCAAAACTCAAAATGTCAGGACTCAAATTATTAGGCAAAAGTTTTAAGAATGGGGCTCTGCTCTCGGCAAGGTTGAAGGTTCCCAGGGTGGCTACCTCCCTCCTCTGATCGACAGCGGAGCCGGTGATTTCACATCCATGCATGCCGGATTAGTATAATTTTTCATAGCTCTGAACACAAACTGAGAAGAGATGACTATCGGATTTTCTCTCTTCCCGCCCCTTACCTTTCCTTCTTCAAATTATTAGGTAAAAGTAACTAATAAAGTTAAGGATACAAATAAAATTTATAAAAATATTATAATAATAATATTATATAATATTATAAATTTATAGTAAAACGTGTTATTATGTAATTAATTTTTTTAATTAAAAATTTATGCATATTATTGTATATATGTATTTATTTAATGTTATATTGTCATTATAAATTTATGATTATAAATAATATTATAACTATAGTATTATCGTAAAATTTATAATTAACTTAAGAAAAACT